GCAGGCTCAGCGGCCATGGCTCACGGGCCCAGCCGCTCCGCGGCATGGGGGATCTTCCCGGACCGGGGCATGAACCCATGTCCCCTGCATCGGCAGGCGGACTCTCAACCACTGCGCCACCAGGGAAGCCCGACCTCTTGTTTTAAGTGTACTGCTTCCAGTAAATCTATTTGCTTTGTTTTTCTTTTGGTGAAGGTCAGGGATTTAAGGTGATCTGGCTGTGACATCTGTGTGCCATTTAGGGATTAGCTATACTTTCTGGTTTCTGTTTGCAGAATGAAAGGACAGGCCTGACTGATACAGAGCCTGTCTCCTAAACAGTTCTCTGGCTATTCTTTTTGGAAGTAGGTGGGTGTCTGTTAGACCAGGGGTCCCCAACCCATCCATGGCCTGTTAGGAACCAGGCCGCACAGCAGGAGGTGAGTGGCGGGTAAGCGAGCGAAGCCTCATCTGTATTTACAGCCGCTCCCCAACTCTCGCATTACTGCCTGAGCCACCCTCCCCCGCATCTGTGGGAAAAGTGTCTTCCACGAAACTGGTCCTTGGTGCCAAAAGGTTGGGGACTGCTGTGTTGGGCCTTCATTTCTGTATATTTCCACCTTTATAACCAATGTAAATAAGTAGGATTTTCATTGCCAACTTAGTAGTTAGTGACCTGTGTATGTTTGATGATATTCTTTAGGTAGTGAAAAAGAGTTAAATAGCCTCAGTCCATAAGATAATTTTTAAAAATCTGCTTAAAAAGTAACAAACTGTAGCTGTTCTCACATAAAGAGAAAACCTGTAGTTTGAGTTTGCCAACTCCTTGATAAAAGCATTTCTGACATCTAGAATGTACCCAATCTTAAATATGAATACTTTGTTTCTAAATGTAAAATTGAAAATTAAGCTTCTAACCTGAGCCTTGTATATTTGACTCTCTTCAGCAGATACCTTGTAATTGTTCTGAAATTAGTGGTTCAGAAAAAGCTATGTATGCCTTTATGAAAATAGAGACACTTTATACCAATTTAACTTTTTCATCTCCATGTGTTGTTTTGGCATAGTTCATTAGTTCATTTATCCATTAATTAGTATATATTTTTTTACCTTTTTATACAGCAAATTGCACAGAGTTTAAAAGATGAGCAGAAGAAGGTACCACCTTCAGAAGCTTTGTTTTCAGATGTTCAGTTAGAAGAAGCAGAGCCTCCTAATAATCTAACAAAATCTGGTATGTTATGATGTTTTAACTTCCAGCTTTTATTCATTCATTTAATAAACTTTTATTGAGGACTTGTCATGTCTCAGGCAAGAAAAACAGCTTGTGCCTTTGAGGAGCCCACACTTTAGCAGGGGGAGATTGGTAAGCCACAGGCGTAATTCAGGGGTGACAGGTTAAAGGTAGGCACAGGGCACTCTTGGACCACGAGAAAAGGGCATCAGATTTGTGAAGGGGGATAAACTGTGAGTGCAGGAAGGCTGATTCAGTGAGAGGTGTGGAATCTGAAAGCTGTAGTGTTGATGAGTATGAGAGAGCCAGGTGACATAAGGTTGTTTTAAGATAGAATCGCATGGAGGACGGCATACAGGAATGGAAGACCATGGTTGCTTTGGGGATGTCAGGTGGTTTGCTGAGTTTGGGTACAGGTTCCTGTAGGAAGGAGCAGGCAAAACAGGCCAGCTTGTGATAGGTGTCAGGTGATAATCTCATGGACTTTGAAATTCTGCCTAATTGTACCATCAGATTTGCATTTTAAAAAATGTATTGAGTGCCTAGGACTCGGGTAAAAAAATTGACAGAAACGTATGGGATAGCTTGGACTAGGGTACCTGTTAGACAAGGAACAAGACTGTCCAAGAGTCACCCCGGATAACTGATGAGTTATCTAGACAACAGGCTAGATGAGAAGTAGGGCACCCCTTCTCCTCACCCCTCAGCTGTAAGAGTGACACTCAAACTCAGCTCCATGTGGGACTGACTGGGAGTCGGGGGTACTGTAACTCCATGGGCTTTAAGGAGCCCCAGCTGCCCCCAAATCCCCAGGCTTAGTGTATCATCAGTTTATTCTGAGTCAACTCTGTAACAGTTGACACCCCAAATCCAGACTGCCCAACAGCCTCAGTATTCCCCATCTGACAAAGCCGTTTTATCACGCCTGCCCTATAGGAAGAGAGACCATAGGGAGCTGAAATTTCCTCCTCTGGAATAGAACCCATGCCATGTCCTAATACACATCTTGGTCTAGTTAGCCGCTTGAAGAGTTACTGGAGAGACTAGAGTACATTTCTGTCTTACCAACCCTGGCCTTGTACCTTTCCCCAGTAAAGCTTATTCTTTAACTCGTGCCTGGCATTACATTAAGGTGTTGTTGGTAGAACTGTGGAGACTGGTTAGGATGTTGTTGTGTTTTTCCATCTGAAAAGTAAAGGTGGTTTGAACCAGGGCGTTGATGGGGGGGGGATGGAGAGAAGTGTATAGATGAGGGATATAGTTAGAAGTTTGAATCAGTAGAATTTGGTGACGCACTAGATATGGGAGCTAAGGAAGATTGAGTAAAGTCCATGTGGAACAACTGAGAGATCTGTATTAAATGGATCTAGAGTTATGCTGTCCAATACGGGAGCCATAGAGCATGTGAAATGTGGCTAGTCCGAATGTGCTGTGTGTAAATACACAACAAATTTCAAAGACTTAGTATGAAATAAAGAATAAAAGGTATCTTATTAGTAATTTTTATATTGATTATATGTTAAAATAATGAGATTTTTGATCTGTTAGAGTAAATAAAATATATTCAAAATAGTTCCACTAGTTTTACCTTTTTTAATGTGGCATTTTAATGTGTCACATTTATGATTCACTTAAGAGTCCTCTTGGACAGCCCTGCTCTAGAGCTATAAAGAGGCAGCTGATTCAGAGGTAAAGATTGAGGACCCTTGATGCTTCGGAATTGTATGAGATCAGCCAGGACAGAGAGTAGAGTGACAGTAACAGAAGTCTGGGGGGAGAGTCTTAGCAGCAGATGGAGGGAGGGCGTGCGCTGGGCCGACAGGGGAAGGACAGCCAGAGGGGTCAGAGGGTGTGATTAAGCCAGAGGAGGAGGGGTCGGCAGAGTGATTTGAGTAAAGAGGTGAGAAATAGGAAATTGGAGGATATCGTGGTTAGAGGGTGGGATGCTGAGTTTTCATGATTAAGAGGTGGAATAGTTTGGAGTAATAAGAAGGTCTGTAGAAAGCACTTCTGAAAGAAAGTCATAAGAAACTGTGTCTGGAGTAGGGGGTGCAGGGATGGAAGTGAAGGTCTTTGGAGTTGAGACGGGCAAGGATAACCATATGGGTCATCCCTAAGGTTGTCGACGCTGTTCAGAATAGACATGGAATTTGGGATGGGAAGCAAGGCTCTGAGTCTGGTGGCAAGGGGAGCAAAAAAGAAAAGAACGCGTGTAATCACTTCTCCTGCTTCCAGGATATGTCGGAAGTGAGAAAATGAAATTGCTGTGAAGTGAGGCCTTTAAGTGATGTGATGTTCATGTTGTGGGAGTAGTTTCAGGGCAAGTTGGTGGAGGGCCCACGGTGTGAGGAGGCCGATCATGAGTGTCTTCAGAACGCATGGGCCTTGTTCTCTGCGTGGAGAAGCGAGGGCAGCAGCAGGCTCGCAGAGGGAGGGTGGTGGGGGCCCACGGCGGGAGCCGATGCAGAAGCCCTGCTACTGGGTTTGCTCGGCTCTTCAGAAGAGGCAGCCAGTAGGCACCTTACTTGGCGCCTTGCTGTGTAAATAAACTCTCCCCAGTCAACAGCTATTTTAACTATTAACTCTTCTTCTCAGGAAAGTGAAAAAATGAATAAGTTGACTTCTGGCTTTGAACTACATAAATACATTTATTGCACTAAACTTTAATTTGGGAGTACCTTTTTGGCTCTTTATTTTGAAGGAGGAATCCCGCAGATATCCTAAATCTTAGCAAAACTAAGGATACTTAGCCTCCTGAGTATTCCGTGATATAATTTGTCCAGTTTATTCTTTTTCCTTAAGAAATGTTTTTATAACGTAGGTATCTTAGTTTAAAGTAAGGCATTATGGAAGAGCTTTTTAAAATTCTACAAGTATTACATGCTTTTGAAAAACAACTAAGCTTACAGAACCATGAAGTGAAAGCACCAGCCCTCAACATTGCCCTCTGCCCTTTCCTGCATAAATCTACTCTGCGAGCCCCAGTTCTCCTTCTGAGCATATGCAGATCTAGCTCTTTTTAAATTTTTAAAAATTTTGGCCACGCCACATGGCTTGTGGGGTCTTGGTTCCCCCCACCAGGGATCAAATCTGGGCCCCCTGCAGTGGAAGCACAGAGTCCTAACCACCGGACTGCCAGGGGAGTTCCCTCTAGCTCTTTTTTTAAAAAAGGAATTCTGTTTTGCTTGGCTTTACTTTTCTTCTTTTATTATTAAAAAAATTTCAAATAAACAGAATGATGCAGTGAACCCCTGTGCCCACCGCCCAGATTCAATACTTAACATTTTATCGTATTATGTATATATTTTTGCTAATCATTTTAAAGTAAGTTATTGTCATCATTGCCACTTTACCTTTGAGTATTTCAGCACCTCTCCAAAAAAAAAAAAAAAAAGGGGCATCTTTCACAGAACCATAAACCATCAGTGCACTAAAAAGTTTACTAATGTTTCCTGATGTGCTCTGATACCCAGTCCATATTTCAGTATCCCCTCTTGTCCCAAAGTATGGTCCCAGCTGCACTTTCCTGGCTCGTGTGAACTCTGGTCCCTCCATCAGAGTGATGGTGCGTCCGTTACAGACGTGTCTCTGCTCAGGCACATCCCCCATGCTCCTCCTCACGCTTGCTGGGGCTGCCTTTTGGGTGGGGTGGGTGGGGGGATGGGCACTCAGCCCTGATCACTTGGGAATTACATACACTAAGTAGGCCTATAAGTGATGGAGTTGAGCACATGGAAGGCAGGCTGTCAGGCAGACCGGCTTCGATTAATCTTCCTGCTTAACATGCTTTGTTTTCTTGTCACTCCCCCACCTCCCGCTTGCTTCCACGTGACGGCATCTAGACCTGTCTCCTTTTTATCGGCTGCATGGTGTTCTGCAGTATGTGTATACTGCTCATGTAGTCCATGAAGATTATCGATCACAGTTCGGAGAGAGCAACTTGGGCTGAGTGTGTGAGGCTGGAGTGTATATATGTGTGTAGTCACGTGCATCCTCAGTGTGTTAAATCTCACGTGTCGCTGATTTAGGTTTCCCTTGGCATTCTCGATTAAAGGCGAGGCTAGAGAAAATGGATGCCTCCAGCCATTGATAGCTAGTGAGAACTAACAGTTTATAATTGCTATTGAAATAAGACAGACCTCCGTGTGTGAAATGTCTTCTTCTCCATTTGGGATTTTAGGTTCAACCGAATCTCTCAGTCCTAGAGCACAGACCACAATTTCTCCAGCAGATCTTCATGGAATGTGGTATCCTACAGTTCGACGAACTCTCGTCTGTCTCTCTAAATTGTACAGGTGTATAGATGTACGTGTGTAAATTCTTGTATCTTTACTGTAAATTGCTTGCTCTTTCACTTAAAATATTTAATTTAAATTTTAAGATCTTGATATATTTTGTTTGGTATTAGATGAGAGTAATAAGATTTTTAGATACAGAGGTAACTTTAAGATCAATCTAATTTAGAGACTCTTTTTTTTTGCGGTACACGGGTCTCTCACTGTTGTGGCCTCTCCCGCTGCGGAGCACAGGCTCCGGATGCTCAGGCTCAGCGGCCATGGCTCACGGGCCCAGCCGCTCCGCGGCACGTGGGATCTTCCCGGACCAGGGCACGAACCCGTGTCCCCTGCATCGGCAGGTGGACTCTCAACCACTGCGCCACCAGGGAAGCCCCCTCATTTAGAGATTCTTAACCTGAGCATTCTGTAGACCCTCAGAATCCTCTGATGCAGGGTTTCCCAACCCCTGGGCCATGGACCGGGACTGGTACCGGTCCGTGGCCTGTTAGAAACGGGGCTGCACAGCAGGAGGTGAGCGGGCCAGCTAGTGAAGCTTCATCTGCCGCTCCCCATCACTCCCATTACTTTCTGAGCCACCAACCCCCGATCGCATCTGTGGAAAAAGTGTCTTCCACGAAACCGGTCCCTGGTGCCAAAAAGGTTGGGGACTGCTGCTCTAATGGGCTTTGGGTAGTCTGTGAACACCTTGAAGTTGTGTGTAAAATTTTGTCTGTATGTTTGTATTTGTGTCTTTCTGAGGAAAAGACCTATAGCTTTTATTGTTTCTTATAGGCGTCTATGGCTACAAATACATTTAAAACTACTGATTAATTCATCTGTCTTAGTTTATAGATGAAGAAAAAGATGCAGAAAGGTTATGTCCAGTGTCACATAGGTATAATATACATTTAGTACTAAATGCAACTACTTTAATTTAGTTTTGCGCTCAATTTAAATCAGCTTCCTTAACAAGTAGTTGTCGGATTACATGTTTCTAACCCTGGACTAATTTTAATTATTTGCTGAAATTAGCAGTACCCTTTTAGTTTTCTAGCCCCAACTTACACTGTGCATTTATCTTAGGTAACATTTATTTTAAGCATTCCAGTTTAATCATATGAATATCAATCCCTGAATGATCAGATTTGTCTACATTTATTTATTGTCAGTGTTAAACCCAAAATAGTTTATAAAAATACGTGATTTTAGTTCACTTTTATTTGTTTGTTTGTTTTGTTTTGTTTCTTTGGCCATGCTGCATGGCTTGTGGGATCCTAGTTCCCCGACCAGGGATTGAACCCGGGCCACAGCAGTGAGAGCGTGGAGTCCTAACCACTGGACTGCCAGGGAATTCCCTAATTCACTTTTAAAAAATTAATTTGATTGTTACAACTGAAACAGCATATAAAGAGAGAAGTGATTAAATATAATGGTCATGTAATTAATTGTCCAGATGCCACTGTTTCTTAAGAATATGGTTCAGAAGGGTACATGTATATCTCCTCCCACTCTGAGATGCTCTGTACCTCAGAGTCCTCGGGCCCAAGCAAAGTTGCACAGTTGACTCATTGGTTCATTAGAGTGCTCACGACTTGGTGTCTATTTTAAACTGCATCGTTAGGAGTTTGTGCTTGGAGATTTTGAAATTCAACCAGAAAGTGCCGTTTGCTCAGTTCTGGGACTTTTAGGGGTGAGGCCAGATCACCTCTGCAGAGTTAGATGTCTCAGCCTTCTGCCCAGCTGCTGAGATCTCTTCCAGAGGGGGGTTTGGACATTGGCAGTTTTTCTTCCCCAGGTCCCCCCAGGAGGTGTATTGAATGATGGTGTTGGGTTGGGATTCAGAAACTTCCTACAGTGGAGGCAGGATCCCAAGGGAAATAATGCAGAGCCACATTCCACATAGAACCCATTGTCATCACGGACCCTGGTGAAGTCTCTTAGGTGCTTAACAGGAATTTTAGCCAAACAGGAGGTAGGCCCAAGGACGTTACTCTGCCTGTTTTTATTTTCTGCCCTAGGCCTGCCCATTACATTTTCACCTAGCTTACATCCAAATCTTCTCCCTCTCTATCTTACCAATCAAAGGTGAGGAGAAACAAATCCAATGAAAACCCTATTAAGGCTGAGCAGGAGAAAGAGAGGGCCTCAATCTAAGCTGCGCATATTCGGACTTCGTAGCAAGAGGCAGCCCTCATCTCTTCTTACTATACAGTAGCCTCATGAGAAACAGAAGTTAGGGAAGCAGTACAAAAAGAGAATAAAGCATCAGGTATGAGACCAGAGCCCAGAACGGGGCCTAATAATAAAAATTTTGCTCCTACCCATCCATCAGTTCCAAGGGAACTGACAGGAGTCCCTGCTCAGACCAACATCCCACACCTCTAGGAAGATATAGAAATGGCAGAATTAAATTAATCATGCTTCACATTCTATTTTGTAACCTGATTTTGTTTTTACTTAATTATGTTTTATAAGAATTTCACCACCTTCTCTTTAGCATTCTTTGATTTCATGCACAGTGTTCTATAATTTAGATTTACTAGTATTTTATTTGTCAGCCCCCTATCATTGAACATTTAAGTTATTTCCAGGTTTTTTTTGCTGTTTTAAATAATATTGTGCTGAAGAGCCATGTGCATGAATTTTAGAATACAGTACTGATTTTACTTGGGGTACATTTTTTGTTTGTTTGTTTTTTTATTTTATTTATTTATTTATTTTTTATGGAACGCGGGCCTCTCACTGTTGTGGCCTCTCCCGTTGCGGAGCACAGGCTCCGGACGCGCAGGCTCAGCGGCCATGGCTCACGGGCCCAGCCGCTCCGTGGCATGTGGGATCTTCCCGGACCGGGGCACGAACCCGCGTCCCCTGCATCGGCAGGCGGATTCCCAACAAGTGCGCCACCAGGGAAGCCCTGGGGTACATTTTTAGAAGTGGATTTACTGAGGCTTTTTTTTTTTTTGGCCACGCTACGCGGCATGCGGGATCTTAGTTCCCTGACCAGGGAATGGAAGCTCAGAGTCCTAACCACTGGACTGCCGGGGAATTCCTACCGAGGCCTTGTTATAAAGTTGGTTTTATGTATCTAAAAAACAGCCTGTAACATGAGATCATGCTGGACTGAGGGCTCCATGAGGTCAGAATCACATCTGCCTTGTGAACCTAGCCCTGTACTTCCAGCATCTAGCACAGAGCTGCATGAAATAGGTACTCAGGAAATATTGTGGAAGGGTCACATGAGTGTTTTGGGAGATGCAAATTAGGAAACTATGTGCTGGTCTAGAAAGGTTGCATGGGAATAGGAAACTCCAGGAGGAATACTGGTAGTAATAAATTAATCCATCAGATGAGGGCAAGCAAGCTGTACTCAGAGCCTACGATTTTCCTTTTTTCTGTTTCTGAGGTGCTGCAAGGTGATGTTTCTCTTTTATTTCACCAGAGGGCAGTATTCCAAGGATTATCACAGGAAGCCTTGTCGGCCTGCATTCAGTCATTACTTGGAGCATCAGAGTCTATCAGCAAAAAGAAGGTTTGATGGAGTGTTAGATGAAATCTTATCGCCTATAGTAACATTGTGGGATGCAGCATTAATTTATAGGCACAGAAATTTAAAGCCATTTTGGCAGTAGGATTCGTTTAATATGATTTAATTTTGAGGCCCTTTGAGAGAAGCTAGTATTTCATTTTAGTGCTCAGTAAACACTGCTGTATATGAGAGTGCCAGCTTTGCTAAAGCACCAGAAGTGATATTTAGGTTACAAATTCTATAGGATGAAGGTTTCTTGTTCTAGCCTTAGCAACTGGGAGGTACTGGACTGCTGTTTCCTCGGAATACCAAAACTCTGTTTTCAAGGAAATGTAGCAATTTATAATCATCCCTGCAATGACATTATAAATAGTTGAAATGGCCTCACTTGGAGGAAATCAGCCAGTCAGTTTGGAAGACAGGCAGCTGTGGCCCGTGGGTTATGTGACTAGAAGTAGTTGCCATGATTTTGTAACTCAGTTTTTAATCAAGAAGAAGGGGTATGGGGCTGAAGGCTGTTGACTTGTGCTTCTCCCACGGCCCCTGAGACTTTTTTCAGAAAGTATGGTTCGGAGTGCTGCTCTACCTTGCTCTGCACGTAGAATACCTGTTGCCACCTACAGGGAGGAAGCTGTCCAGGGTGTGTCCAGCCAGAATTTCATAGCTGCTGGGAGTTTTCAAACCTGTGAACCTTTCTGGACTTCCAGGTTTATAAACTTGGTTTCTAACTTCAAGACTTCAGATAAATTAAAACCAAAAAACAGAAATCTCCTCACAAAAGAATTTGGGACCTTAGAAAAGCTCTATCTTTGTTTGTGACCACCATATGCTCCCATTCATGAAGTCGAGAGTTGAAATGAAATTTTGACAGGGGGACTAGAAGAGAATGGAAAGTTAAGTTATAGACAGGCAGGTTGAAGTTTAAAAAGTATTTCCAAGTCTGAGCTCTCACATTTTTTTATGGTATGGTAGGTAGAATTAGGAAACACTTGTCTAATATTAGGGAAATGGTTAAGTAAATTGTGGTATATTCCATATAGTGGAATATTACACAGCCATTAAATTTTAAAAAATGAAATAATAAAATGTAACTTAAAGATGTTAAGGCAAAAAAAAGCACAGGATACAAATCAGGTATACACTATGACTTTATATAATGAACATATGTGTTAAAAAAAAAGGAATGATGAAAGCTTTGGGGTGACTATAGATGATTTTTTTCTTTCTTTTCCTTACACTTTCTTTACTTTCCACATTTTTTACAGTGAGTATGTATTTCTTACATTATCAGAGGAAAAAAATGACCTAATTGAAGAAAAAAGTTCATATGCTTATGTCCTCTTGTACCACTGTCCTCTTTTTAAAGGGGGGAGTGAAAAGCCTTTTGATTATTCAGTCTTTTGCCCTCATTGCCTGTAAGGCTATTCTCTTTTATTAACTCGGTTTCCTTCATATTATAAGGTGCTTAAGTATGTATGAGGAAGCCCTCAATTTGGTAAGAATTAGCTAATTTATTTTCATGACTGAGTTTATATGCTTTTTGCCTTTCAACTTTTAAAAAAGTGATCAATGAAAATGGCTTAATGTCTTAGAGAATTTCTTAAGGCAAGAAATTCTTCTTACATACTTAAATCGAGTACCTAGTATATCAGTAAACTAACACAAAGCTGGATCACAGCAGCTTCAGTAAATTCAATCTATATTATACTATTTTCTCCATCGGAGCTGTTAGTTCTTTTGAAAATAGAGCAAGCATTCAAAATGTGTAGCATTTCCTACTTACCTAATGTTCTGTGTTCCAGAGTACAAAGTGAGTTTCCATCAAATAAATCATACTTATATGTTGATTATGTGTTTATTTAGGAGGGAGGGAGGCAGGGAGAGAGAACAGAGAGGAGTCACTTTAGTAACCTCTTTAAAGTTTATACAGGCACACCTCATCTTACTGTGCTTCGCTTCATTGCACTTCACAGATACTGCGGGGTTTTGTTTTTGTTCTTTACAAATTGAAGGTTTGTGGCAACCCTGCATTGCACAAGTCCGTTGGCACCATTTTTCCAACAGCATCTGCTTATTTAGTGTGTCTGTATCACATTTAGTTAAGTCTCTCAATATTTCAGATTTCATTATTATATTATGGTGATCTGTGATCTTTGATGTTACTATTGCAAAAAGATTACGACTTGAAGGCTCAGACGATAGTTATTTAAAAATACTTTATTGCTAAAGATGGCTAGCATTTTTAGCAATAAAGTATTTTAAAATTAAGTTATGTACATTGTTTTTTTAGACAGTGCTATTGCACACATAATAGACTACAGTATGGTGTAAATGTAACTTTTTTTTTTTAATAAATTTATTTTTGGCTGCATTGGGTGTTCGTTGCTGCACGTGGGCTTTCTCTAGTTGTGGTGAGCAGGGGCTACTGTTAGTTGTGGTGCATGGGCTTCTCATTGCAGTGGCTTCTCTTTTTTTTTTTTTTTTTTTTGCGGTACTTGGGCCTCTCACTGTTGTGGCTTCTCCCTTTGCGGAGCACAGGCTCCGGACGGGCAGGCTCAGCCGCCATGTCTCACGGGCCCAGGCGCTCCGCGGCACGTGGGATCTTCCCGGACCGGGGCACGAACCCGTGACCCCTGCATCGGCAGGCGGACTCTCAACCACTGTGGCAGTGGCTTCTCTTGTTGCAGAGCACGGGCTGTAGGCGCACGGGCTCAGGAGTTGTGGCTCACGGGCTCTAGAGCGCAGGCTCAGGAGTTGTGGCGCACGGGCTTAGTTGTCCGCGGCATGTGGGATCTTCCCGGGCCAGGGCTCAAACCTGTGTCCCCTGCATTGGCAGGTGGATTCTTAACCACTGCGCCACCAGGAAAGCCCTAAATGTAACTTTTATACGCACTGGGAAACCAAAAAAATTCATGTGACTAGCTTTGTTGTGATAATTACTTTATTGCAGTGGTCTGGAAGCAAACCCATAATGTCTCTGTGGTATGCCTGTATTGCTTACTGAAGGACAACTTTATTCTTTTCCTAATGCAGTATAATTTCATTAAAAATATTTTCAAAGTAAGATTGCATCTTGAGTAGCAGCAAGAAGGAGCAAACAAGGGAGACGCAAGAGGGAAGAGATATGGGAACATATGTATATGTATAACTGATTCACTTTGTTATAAAGCAGAAACTAACACATCATTGTAAAGCAATTATACCCCAATAAAGATGTTAAAAAAAAAAAAAAAAAAAAGAAGGAGCAAACATAGCCTAGCTCTTCTTCTTCTTTTTTTTTCCCCAGTACATGGGCCTCTCACTGCTGTGGCCTTGCCCTTTGCGGAGCACAGGCTCCGGATGCGCAGGCTCAGCAGCCGTGGCTCACAGGCCCAGCTGCTCCGCGGCATGTGGGATCTTCCTGGACCGGGGCACGAACCCGTGTCCCCTGCATCGGCAGGCGGACTCTCAAACACTGTGCCACCAGGGAAGCCCTCTTCTTAATATACAGACTCTTTTCTGAAATGAGGGCCATGATTATTCACTATTTTGGGAGTGGGTCAGAGCTTGAGAACTAAGCTTGATTCACAAGACTCTTGTGGATGAGTCCTGAGAGGGTAAAAGGAAATTCAGGGCCTCTCAGGGGTGTAGGTAGTCAGTGCTCTGTTGCTGGCAGGATAATCCAAAATGGTAACCCCAAATCATTTTACATTTGGAGGCTTCTTTTCTACTTTTATATAAATATGAGTATTTCTGATACTCTGTATATTGAAACCACTTTGACCAAATAGTGAAAGGCAGGTTCCTGAGAGAAACTAGGAAGCCCTGAGAGATCAGAGTCGTGCTCATACTTGGAACTTTTAATTCCTGCTCTGTGCTGATATTGGACCACATGGTTTCTTCTATTTCTGCACCAGGTTAGAATAGGTTTGACTTCTCTTTCTAAATGTTTCTAAAATGTGTTGCTTTACAACCTTTTTGTCTGATTTACTTTCTTAGGTTTACTAAATAGAACAAGTGATAGAGTTAGTAAGAGTTTGAAGCAAGATTTTTCCAGATAATTCTAACATGGAAATATGGGAGGAGTTCATTGCACAGCAAAGGAGTATTGGTACCATATAGTTAGGCTAAGGGCCATAGACCTAGATAGATTAATGTTGATTAATAACATGTGTTTTATGTGCTCCTCTTTTTATTTAATCTGTGATAATATCCATTTCTCTGTCTTTCAATTTAGACTCAGATTGATGGACAACTTTTCTTAATAAAGCACCTTTTGATTCTTCGTGAACAGATTGCTCCGTTTCACACTGAATTCACCATTAAGGAAATTTCCCTGGACCTCAAGAAAACTAGAGGTACTTCATTGTCCTGGCTGGCACAGTTGGGTGTGTTGGACCTGTCCAAATGTGTCAGCACAGGTTATAGGTTTATTTTATGTTCATCTGCAATTTGTTTGCATGCTGTGCTTGCTAAGCATGTTACCTGTCCATACTAAGCTGAGCTGTCAGCATCCTAATTACATCTAACTTGCTGTATTTTCTTTATGAAGAGGACTATATCTGAGCATTTCAACTTGCAAAAGAGTATTACCTCTCTTAGACTCTGCCACGTATTACCATAACCAGTTACAAAATGAAAAATCACTATAATAACTACTTAAGAGGGTCAGCTAATTGGAGTGATTTTAAACATTGAGTTGGGTTTGCTAGTTCATAGAAATTGAGACAGCCAGCTGGGTAAAATAGGAAGAGTACTTATCTAAGCGTCTGAGTCAGGTTCTGTTCCTGGCCCATCATTTCCTGGCTCTTGTGATCTTAAATGTGTGTTTTAGCTTCCTCACCCTGTGTAAAACAAGCAGAATCCACTTGTCGTGATGCTTTCACCAGAATATCAAGACCATTAAGAGTGAAAATAAATGAAAGTACATATTAAAGTGCTTTTGTAAGCTTAAGGTGCTTAAATAAACTCAAGTTGCATTATTATTAAATCAGCTGGTTGTTAAGTAATCATGTAGATAGGGTCTTTGAGTTGGTAATAGACATGGAATCATCTTGGGAAAGGTGATTCATCCATCCTGATGGTTTGTTTCTGACTGAATTAACAAGTGATGATTTCTAAAAGATCAAAGTAGTTATTTTCTAAGATGTTGATCTTAAACGGTTAAGGATGTACCATAAATATCCATCTCCTTTAATTACTTACAAACTTATCTAAACTTTATCTTTTCTTAACCATTTCCAAGAGAATTAAGCTCTAACACCTTAAGCCGTCTGTTTATGGAATGAGTGAATTTCTCACTTATGTATTGGGGGATTAGAGAAAATTCATAGCCATTCAAATTACTTTCTGTATTCTGTGGTTTAGGGGAACTCCACATAATAGGATTTCCAAGAGGAGCAGGTTGTTACTTTCCTAATGACTGTGTTTATAAAATAGCAGACTTGATTTAACTCACCTGAGAGCCAAGTCGTCTCATCATGAGTCATATTAAAACAGCTTATTCTTTTCCTAATGCACTCTCCTTTTCACCACAGGGAATAATAGCTTTTGGTTCTGGTGGCATTTATTTATTTATTTATTTTTGGCTGCGTTGGGCCTTCATTGCTGCACACGGGCTTCCTCCAGTTGTGGCGAGCGGGGGCTACTCTCTGTTGTGGTGTGCGGCTTTCTCACCGCGGTGGCTTCTCTTGTTGCGGAGCATGGGCTCTAGGCACGTAGGCTTCAGTAGGTGTGGCTGGCAGGCTCTAGAGCGCAGGCTCAGTAGTTGTGGCGCACGGGCTTAGTTGCTCCGCGGCATGTGGAATCTTCCCGGACCAGGGCTCAAATCCGTGTCCCCTGCGTTGGCAGGCGGATTCCCAACCACTGCGCCACCAGGGAAGCCCTCTGCTAGTATTTAGATAGTAAGCCTGTATGTTATTCATATACTTTGTAATTTTGTTTTTAAACAGCAGCCAGATTTTCTGGCTTTTGCCTTTATAGAATGCATAATTTTTTTAGTTTATTCTCATCGGAGGCTGCCATCATGCAACCATTCTGGTTGGTTTCCTGCTTTCCTTTCAGTGTGAGGTGTGGAAATAGTGCCTTAACCTTGAGGAATGCCAGTCGTTGATAGTCCTTACTTTATTTAAGTAATGGGATGAAGCAGGGCCCATCTATTTTCTTTCGTATTTTTTCTAATTCATAATTTGTTGCTGCTTCGTTCTACTACAGATCCACTGAGGTGTGAGAACATGAAATACTCTAAAATTTTGGCAAATTTTGGTATAAAGTATGTTTTCTCTAAAACCTTATGAAGGTTATGTAATCCTGCCATATGATCACCTACAATTGTTCAGGTTTCTTACAGAAAAGACAGCAGACACAAAGAGTCATTTACTAAAGCTTTACTCTGAATCTGATAGAGAGGTGTGTTTTTTGTTTTTTGTTTTCCCAGTAAGATCAGGATGAAGGCAGGGAGTACAGTCTGCTGTGTTCTTGTAAAACCAGGGTTGGAAGCATTTCATGCTTTGCTTTCTCCAGCCTGCCAAGGCAAAGCAAAGAAATGGTCTTTTCTGACTATCACTTAATAATACTTGCTATCTTTACCTTTAAGCCTCTAACCTCTCATGACTAACATTATACCTTATTGCATTTGAACATCAATGAGACCTGTTAGTACTTTGCATAGATTCTAATTAGTCTGGAGGTTAAGGGGTAAATATGTCCTTTTGGTGTTTTTTTTCTGGCTGACACATTAGTTTATTCTCTGCTTCAAATGAATAAATTTCTGTGCCAGCCAGATCTTAAACAAAAGAAGCTGGGTAAGTATATGAATCTTTCTTAAAAAACCTATTTAGCATCATAAAAGTAAAGCAGTGAAATTTTAAGGTATTGATTACCATTTATCCTTTTTCTTTTTTTCTATAAATGAATAATTGTGATTAATAGTCATTTTGCAGTTCTGAGTTCTAGAAGATAGTTATGTGTGAGTGCTGCAGCCATTGTTGGCACTAACCTTATCCACTCATGGAGGTGACTTGGTGGAAATGAAACCCCTCTTGCCCTGTGGTAATAGAGAACTCGTGTATGTTTACACACTGAAATAGGAACTTGGCTTCTTGTTGAAACTGTACATGTTCACTGGATGAGTAATTTTGTTTCACAGATGCAGCATTTAAAATCCTGAATCCTATGACTGTTCCAAGATTTTTTAGGCTGAATAGCAACAATGCCTTGATAGAGTTCTTGTTGGAGGTGAGAAGGAGTCTGTTTTCTTGGTGGTGGGAGATAAACGATATTCTTTACATGTCTGGTAATTTCTAGGCACATAAAAACAGGAGGAAACTGTCATCTTCTCTTTAAGGGTACTCCTGAGATAAGAGAACATTATCTTGACTCTAAAAAAGATGTAGACCGTCATCTGAAATCAGCCTGTGAGCAGTTTATTCAGCAACAGACCAAGCTGTTCGTAGAGCAGCTGGAGGAGTTCCTGACAAAGGTATACACCTTGGTGCATATTTGTAAATTGTGAATTCTTCCCTAGATTGCATTTTGTTTTTGTTCTTTTTGTTTGTTTTTTTAATAGAAATCCATTTTTAATTTAATTAATTAATTAATTAATTAATGTTTGGCTGTGTTGGGTCTTCAGAGCTGCGTGCAGGCTTTTTCTAGTTGTGGTGAGCGGGGGCTACTCTTCGTTGCGGTGCGTGGGCTTCTCATTGCGGTGGCTTCTCGTTGCAGAGCATGGGCTCTAGGCGCACGGGCTTCAGTAATTGCAGCACACGGACTCAGTAGTTGTGGCTCACGGGCTCTGGAGAGCAAGTTCAGTAGTTGTGGCGCACGGGCTTAGTTGCTCCGCGGCATGTGGGATCTTCCGGGACCAGGGATCGAACCCGTGTCCCTTGCATTGTCAGGCGGATTCTTAACCACTGCGCCACCAGGGAAGCCCCTAGATTGCATTTTGAATTACGCTCTTATGAAAACCTTGGCGGAAGGAAACAGTAGGGGCTTCCCTGGTGGTGCAGTGGTTAAGAATCCGCCTGACAATGCAAGGGACACGGGTTCGATCCCTGGTCCCGGAAGATCCCACATGCCGCGGAGCAACTAAGCCCGTGCGCCACAACTACTGAGTCCGTGTGCTGCAACTACTGAAGCCCGCACGCCTAGAGCCCATGTTCTGCACTGAGAAGCCACCACAATGAGAAACCCGCACACCGCAACAAAGAGTAGCCCCCGCTCACCGCAAGTAGAGAAAGCCTGCACACAGCAGCAAAGATCCAACACAGCCAAAAATAAATAAATAAAATAAATAAATTTATTTTAAAAAAAAGAAAAAGAAAAAGGAGACAGTAAACCCATGTCTTAATGATTCTGTCTAAAAAATCACCGTGTTTCCTATTATGGAAGCTTTTTGGTTTGGACTTTTAGGTATGCTTGCAGAGTTTTTCAGTTTTAAGAGAAAGTGTGCACATATTGCAAAGTTAGTTATAGCAGACCTCTGGTTAGCTCTGTTCTCTTTATCCACATTGTAGGGACCTGCATGTGGTCTGGGACTCTCACTTTTCCTGGATTAGGACCTGCATGGCAGTAATCACAGTCCTGTCTATCAGGGTTTCCTGTTACTTAAATGGGTGATTTATTTTCCTCTTTGTTTTACATGCTATTTTTCCCTTTCATTTTGCGTAGTTAACTGAGAATTGAAGATTTTATATCATTGCATTGTTAATTATCAGATATATGGATTTATAATAATCTATTTCTCTGTCTCCTAGCTAGAATCCATCAACTGGCAAATGCCAGCAAAGGAAAAAGCAGATCATGGCAGTTTTGACTTTTCCTGTTCCAACATAATCATTTTTTAAAAAAACCTAAGTGTTGTTACTAAGGACTTACCTCATAAAGATCTTTAAGAAGTCTTGAAGTGAACTTTCACTTATTAAGCCTCTACTGTCTGTCCAGACTTGTGCTAGAGGACATTAAAAAGGAATAAAAATATGACAGACCTCTCTCTCAAATTTACTTGTCTAAGTCTTAACTGGGGAGACATTGGTAACTTGTTGCTGGGTCCTGTGATAAAGACAAAAGATTTTAGTTTTTGAAAGTAAGAAATGATACCAAAAAAGCAAATATAGAAATGTTAAACTATTATTTATCATTGAGGTATATTACTTGTTTAGTGGCTTTTAGCCCATTCATCAAGTATTTGGAATGTGTGTGTGTGTTTTTTCCCCACCACAGAAATATAAAAGGAGGGTGGTGTAAATGTTTTCTCCCAGCTTTTTGATTTAAAAAGAAATGGTGCAAGTATGGATATTTTGTAAGTTACAAACCAGTCATCATAGTTTTTACTGAAATTGTCCTCATGGAAAACTAGTTTGTAGATTGTAGTATTTTGGGGAGAGCACCCACATTAATACTGGTGGGAAATACTGTAGATGAATGTTTTGCAATAACAGAGCAGCAGAACGAATCTTCTGATATAAGCAAGTTGGTTGTTATGAAATCTGCCATTAAAGGTTTTTTTCTAGAAAAGCACAGTTTTCCTAGAAGTCAAGAGAATGAAGATTCACTGATGGTAGTTGTCCAAGTTGACCTTAGGATAAATTTGGTAAATCTGGTATAACTCTGGGCATTTGGAAGATTCTGGACACTACGAACATTCTTTAAAAATTAGAGATTTATGTAGAAAATATGTATTCCAAGTCTGAATTATGTAATGGCCCTCCATGGACATGGTACACGCCTATAGCAGGGACCCCTGTATAGCTGTTCATGCACCTCTTTTTATACTCCTCTCAGTATGGGACTGGGGGAGGGAAAGGCCCTGCGCCTGATCATCATTGAGAAGCCGTTCTCCCTCACCCGCCTCTATCTGCTCACTCTATGTTGACCTTGCTCAGATTATTCCCAGTTGCCTCATGTTTCCTTTTACAACCCTGGTCCCTCACTGCTCCTTACTGTTCAGTGAGAATCTTTAGTAGATACTATGGCTTAGAGGACCCGGCATCCCTTTTATGTTATCTTATTCCAAATTTAGGTTTCTTCCCCTGTCCTGTTGGCATAGAGTAGGTCAGAGGTAAAGGTATATACACACACACACGCACAAGCACGCACACGTGCATTGTAAGCACTAGAGTTCATACAGATATACGTGATCATTTAAGACATTGTTTCTTAGAGTTTGTGGACCAACCATTTTTCACGTTTCACCGGGTCAATGTTACTAGTATTCTGAATAACAGAGATAGAGTAAATGATTTTAAAACCTTAAAATAATTTTCTTTAAAGATAATTGTGCAAGTGCAGAATCTTATACCCCTTTTATTATAATTGGCATTGTAAGGCAGTCACTTCTTGTACCTTGATAAATGATCACAAGAAAAGCAGTATCCATAGATGCAGAAAGGAAACAGTATTTCATCTTTCATTTGGATGTATGCTTGTAGGTCTCAGTATTTACTATTTGGATGTAAGCTTCATCAACAAAATGTCCTCAGCTTGTTTCTAAGTTTGGACTGATTTTTAAAATATATATAGGTTTGCCTAATAAAACAAGCTGTGAGAGTGTATAGAGAACGTTCTTAGGTTGTCAGAAGACTTGTTTTTTGAGCCGGAAGACTCCAGGTGTGATTCTGGTCCCCTTTCACCTGTTGTGAAAAAAAAAAAATTGGCTTTTTTGTTTATGTAGCTCCTTCCTCGGGCTCTCGTTTTTGAGATGCTTTGTTTTCATTAACTCTCATTACATGCCTAGTACCTGGAGTAAGTAAGCATCTCCATTTCACAGACTAAGAACCAAAGTTTTGCAGTGTGACCTGTATACATGAGATAAACATTTCTACAGCATTTTAATCTGTCTGGTGTAAACATCCTTCCTGATTTTTTGGTACAGTTAATGAAATTTCTTGAGAACAATAAAATTATAAAATTTTATTTTATAAAATAATGAAATTTCTTGAGAACAAGAAAATGGTTCTAGAAGAACTATTGCCTTGTTTCTTGCTCCTTGAAAAATAATCTTTTCTCTCAGTATTTGAATGGCCCTAGGGAGTGTAATACTGTTCTCTAAGTGTTGGGGGTGGCGGTTCATATCAAAGCATTTGGGTCATTTTCTAAAACTAAAAAACTGTCGATACTTTTTTTATGTCCTAGAATTTTATTGTACTGAATATTGCTTGAAACAAATTCTTAAGTAGGGCTTGGAATCGTCTTGGGTGTAGTAGAAAGAGCATAGCATTTCGAGGCAGGAAAGCTGAGCTCTGCACCTCCTGACTGGGATGTTAGTGGTCACTTAGCTTCTCCAAGCCTCAGTTTCTAATCTCTACAGTGGAGATAGCTGTTGCATCCCTCCTCCCTACTTAAGGTTATTATGGGGACCAAAAGATGATTTTGTACATATAAACATACTTGGTCAGTGCTTGAAGAAGTGTTATTTTATAGTAAAATGTGACAAATTTGCAGTGAAGATTTTGCTTCACTGCAAAAAAAAATCTGAATGAAAGCATTTTAAAGGAAGTATAATTTCATGTTTATAGCTAAGCTAAAAGTGTTTCCCCTCGTGGGACCAGTTTATGCTAAAAACTCAGACTTGTATTCCTCTCAAGCAGTTTGCTAAAGTATTGCAAGTTATTCTTAATGTTCCCTCTGAAGCCTTATTAATTTCCTCAGCAACACTACAAATTAATTTTTTTTCCTCGGCATAGTGTGTGTAATAGAATTTGACCTATAAATTTAATTTCTGTTCACAAGGAGTTATAACCTAATGGGAAATCAAGATGGAAAATATGTAAACATTAAGATGTATACAGCAATGTCATTATGAGACAGTGGGACTGTCTTCATCCTGTAGGGTTTTAAAAAAGATGCGGCTAATTGGGAAAAACTTTTGAAGAAAATGCTCCTTGAGGTTTAACTTAAAGATAAGTATATTATCTAGGTAGTAAATAGAGATGAGTATACAAGTTTGTATTTGCTTTTAGTATAAAAATAGTTATATACAATATATGTCTTTATGAAATTGGTTAAATTCTGGAACAATCAGTGGCATAACAGCCAGCCATTACTATTAAAGCATAACAATTAGATACAGAAAAATGTCCAGGATTTAGATTTAAGTGGAGGAAAAAGTTTTTAGAGCACTGTGTTCCTACTTTTGTAAATGTAGACAGACACATTAGTATGTTTATATATTTACGTTGGGAAATATTTGGGATAATATACACTAAACATGAACATGTTTTTCTTTAGCATTGTCTAACCTATAATCGTATGTATGACTCACTTTTAAATGCTGCATCTCACAATAAAAAATAAAGACATAGAGAGGAATTGAGTGACAGTGGAAAGGGGTGATTTTGTATACATGGCAACATGAGCAGAGGCCTAGAGTGGTCCAGGAATATGAACTTGGTAGAAATAGAGAGAGGGCTGGAGAGGCCTGAGTTAACATTATATCCTGTCTGTGCCCATCCTCTGCCTAAATATTTGTGTGGCCTTCTTTATGAGAAGTCTAAAAAGTTGGTGTTCAGGTTTTTCTAATGAGACTATCTGCTGAGGCCAAGGTTATGGCCTGGACCGTTGGCACCTAGCAGTCCATTTTTTACAGATGTTTTGTGCATTTCTGTCCTTCACCCTCCCTAGCTACAGCCTAGCCGCACCATAATTTGCTATCTTAAGAGCATTCTTGTCCGAAAGCTAAATGTATGGTTTTGCTTCTCTGTACTGATGCTGAGAAATGAAAAGAGAGGTGAATAGAGGGTGGGCATCCACTTCTTGTACCTAGAACACTGGCTAGTCAAATGTGCTTTTTGATGCTATCTGAAAATCTTTTTTTTAAAAATAACATTCTCTCTGCCTGTGACGAAGAAAAGGACCCTCTAGGTATATAAAGGAGATTTTGTCCAACTGCTGTGACACTTTTCTAATAACATACGATAGTAATTTAATGTTAACCTAACAGTCCACTGAAGGAGAGGCCTGTTTTGTGTTGACGTTTCTCTCCGTCTTCATTTTTGTCTTCCTACCCTGAAATGTTTCAGGCTGAATGCCTCAGGACATTGGTATGGTTTTCTTTTTGCAAAACAGTGTATGCCTTGAAATCACAGGAGAAGGTTTTGCTAAAATATTTTATTCGTTGTAAAGGACTATGAGTTATGCATTTTCTTTTAGGGCTGCACATTTGATTATCATTATGCTTTCATACATTCAAATGGTGTATCTTTTGAGAGCAGAACTAGTTTAATTTGTCATCAGTGAAATGAAACGTGTTTCCTTTTGTCCCCTCTACTAGGTTTCAGCACTAAACACAATGGCCAGTCAGGGAGGACCCAAGTATACTCTCTCTCAGCAGCCTTGGGCTCAACCAGGTACCCACGTTTCACTGTTTGGGATTTCTTTTTTTAGGATGTCAGTTAATTTGCATTTATATAGTCCTGCTCCAACAGCTTGAAGTTGGTTTCCTACTCCTGCTGTGGTTTAGGTTAATGTAAGGTTCATTTTGGAGCTGGCAGGTCTTAACTGAGCCAGCACGACTTGCATTTCAACAAGCATCCCAAGAAAGGAAGAATTAAAACACACACACACACACACACACACACACACACACACACACACATATACATAAATACATACATATACATACACACACACACAGTTAAAAATAAAATATGGCTTAGATGGAAACGCTTTGAGTGTGATGGTTTCTGTACACTTGATTTTCATTGTCTTAGAGTGAAAATACTGTGTTTAAAGTATGAAATTAATGGAGAATTAATGTTTCCAAGTATTATATGAAGAAATGTTGGACATTACATTTTAAGCAAGTTACATCCTTACATTTTAAGCAAGTTACATCCTCTTTAATGTTTTAGAGTGTTTGAAAAAAATCATAAAGATGTGGTGTCATTTAGGAGTTGGCAGGCTCTATCATTGATTGGCAGAAGTGCTGGAGATGTTTCCAGTCTTAACTCTTTCCTAAATGTAAATTTTTTTGTGCTAGAAGGTGTTTTTTCCCCTCTTTAACATTAGACATTGAAAATCACGACTAGTTTTGTGGGTTATTTTTGGTCCATGTTGTGACATTTTAAGTTGTCATTAAACCAGAATAAATCATTTTGTTAGACTGATACTTCTGGCCATTCCCTGGCCCATATTGTGTTAGAGATCCTTTGAAACTAAGAAGGGCAAGATGCCGAAAGAATGAGTGTTTTAATTATGGGTGAGCTGTGTCCAAGTTGGTAGGAAGCTTTTTGCTCATAGTGAGAGAGATCCAAAGAATGATTCTGGTTTAGCATCCATAAAAAATTGACTCTACAGGCACCCCAAACTGGAATTAGGTTTTTAACGTGATTGGTTTCCCATAAGGAAAGAATGCATGTCTGTCAGGTATTTATTTCTTTTGGGAAAAAGAATTGAGGCCATTCTAAAATTTTCAGTTATTTTTATTAGTGCCTCAGGTTAACTTGAAGTTGAGGTAGAGCAAAGGAGTTGTTAGAGTAGCTGTGTGTCTCCTATAGGAAGATTTGTAAGCGTAGAGAATTATCCCTGGTATCTGAATGGAAGGCAGGATTTTATTTCAAAAATTTGTCATGTGAACTTTGATGATGTCAATATAGGTTTGCATTGATTTGCTTTATCTTGCACATGAACTTTGTGACATGCTGTAGGCCTTTTGTTTACTGTGATGGAGACAGTGAATATTATACTGGCTTTATTATTTTAAACCTTTGTGTTGTATATGAGATTGAAATCTTGGCCATCTTACTAAAGGACAGAGAGCATCCTTCATGCGGTAGTATATTCTGTCAAGAGAAAGAAAACCAGAGTCTTTTACTGACAATACTGGAAATTCTAACCATAGTGAGCCTGGTGGTAACCACTTGTTCTGACCCCTCAGGGTCAGGAGCAGGCTTGTCAGGCTGTAACTCAGCACTGATTCTAGAAGGAATTCTGATCATCTTTGGATTAATTGGGCTATTGGCTCAAGGTTTGTCATTTACAGAGCTTATTTAGAAATAGGACCTGATTTTATTTTGAACGTTAGTGTCAATGAAACTCTTGGGTGCAATAAATTTTTCTTAAAATAGGTAGAAACCACCAAATTGTCATAAGTATAGGTAGTACAGCTAAGCCCAGGGGCTTGATGCATAGTTAATGTATTTTCTTTCCCCTTTGGGAAGATTCTCTTCTGCTCAAAATAGGCGCTGTCATTTTCTCAAGTGGAGTCCTAATAGATCTCCCAGTGTTAGGTATATTGTGCTCTTAAGTATTACTAGAATTGTCATTAGTAAAGCTGGAGTAGATGAAAGGAAACCGACAGAAGGACTAGATGAAATAGGGCTTGATGTTTTGTCGTTTAAGACATTTTGTTTCTTTCTAAGTGAGGGGATCCTGGCAAATGGAGCAGTGACACTTCAGTTTACCTAGTTGTATCTTCCGTCTCATTTAGCCTCAAGGAGCTATGGAGTTGCTTTTTCTTGATCTGTAATACGAGAAGCCCACACTTAAATGTCGAAGATTTTCAAGTCTTTGGTGTGGGAGCACCAGGGACAGTCTAGAAACTTCTCTTGGGCCCCCAGAACCCGGGGTTAGTGGTTCATGCAGACTTGATCACCTTCTTGGGGTCATTCCATGCTAAACTCATGAGATTGAGTTATAGTTAGGATGCCAATTTGTTAATTACTCTGGGAAATATACCTTTTTAAGAATTAGGATACTTTATTTACAAGGCTCCACATAAAACTGGGCTCTGAAGACTGACAAGTGATCCCTGAAGTGTGTTAGTGACCATAGGACCAGAGCCTATGGAATTAATTGTCTTAAAGGAGCTTTCATCTGTTTATGAAAAATAAGGAATTCTTGGATTGTTTGTTCTTTCTTCTTAGAGCGTTGGCAGTTTCTCACCCTGCTCTTATACAACCCTCCTCAATTAAAAAAATTTTTTTAACATGGTATAAAATTTGAACTGTGGAAAGGTATAAAATGAGAATTCTATTCTCCACCTCTCAACTAGTTCTCTCAAAGGTAACCACTATTAATGGCTGATTTCCCAAAATTATGTGTATTCTAGCATATATGGACTTGAAACGTGTTATACAAATAAGATTATACTATCGTTACCTGAAAAAACGGGTTTGCCTCTTGGTGGGTATTGAGCCAAAAGACACAACCAAGGCAAAGAGTGGGAGAAGGAAGGATTTATTACTTGCAGCGAGGAAGGAGGACACCGGGGGTCTTTCCCAAAGCAGTGTCTCCCCGAATGGCAAAATTGGGGAAATTTAAGCTAAGGGTACATGTATTCATGAAGGGGCTTGAAGAGAGGAGAATTCAGCACTGAACTGGGGCAAAGGTTGACAGAATCCAAGCTTTAGTTAATTGAAGTCAGGGGGGTCAACAGCATCATTCCATCCTCCACCCGAATGGGGGCCTTAGTTCCTGCAGAGCTCAAAGACGTGCATCCGATTGTTCTCTGTATCCCTTGAGGAGGGGCTAGGGCTGTTTCATTACCGACCTATTGTTTCTTATTGCTTTTCCTGTGTTCCTGCATTCCCTCACTTCCCTTAAGGTCATCAGTTACTGAGACCTGTTAAAGGATAAGCATTGTGGCCAGGCTGAGATCACAGAATGGTTTAGGCCAACATGGCTTCTCTTACCTTAAGAAAGCCAGTCCTGGTTCTCCTTCTTCAGGGGCCTCTTACCCTATCTGCTTACAAAATATCCCTTGACTGTTGTTTTTTTTTAAACCACTTATTCTGTATCTTGGAGCCCTTTCTATACCAGCATATCCAGCTCTACCCATTCTGTTTAATGGACGTGTAGAATATATCACTAAAGCATAATTGCTTTAATAATTCTATTAATAGGTATTTAACTTATTTTTAGTTTGTTTTTCCTTACACTCTTTAATAAACACACATATCTTGGTATTTTGTAAATATGTCCATAAGGCAAATTTCTAGCAGTAGAAATGTTAAGTGAAAGAGTATGTGTATTTTCAGTTTTGCTAGACATTGCCTAATATCCCTTACAAGAGGGTGAACAGTTTACACTCCCGTTAACAGTGGATGAGGGTGCCTGTTTCCCCACACCCCTGCCAAGTGTGGATATTCACAACCTTGGTAATTTTTACCCATCTGAAATATTTCAGTTGTTTTAATATGCGTTTCTTTAATTATGAGTGAGGTCAAGCATCTTTGAAATTACTAATCAGTCTTTTCTTGTATAGCTTTCTAGGTGATTTTCTCTTTTAGATGCGCCATACAGATTATAGCTCTTCCTTTCCACTGCACTACACCTGGGCTACTAATTATTTCAGTTACAGTTTTCTGGAATTCTTTTCCTTTTCTGATAATGCAATATAAGAACGTAGCAAATGGATTTTTAGTTCCCATTAAATATGTGTGGGTATTTTCTGAATGATCTCATAAGACAGAGAGCATCTCTTACTGTGAGTCAGCTCTGCGAATGAGTAAGCATGAAGTAATTCTCACTAGTGCTTCTCTGCAAATGACCTTTTATTTTACCTTACGCCTTATCTCCAAATTCCAAGGCACCATATTACTATCCCTATGAATGTCCTGAGCCATGGCGGGGTGTGTGGGGGGGATTCTTTTGCTGTTTAGCCCACGGGGTTAGAATTTTGTATACAGTAGGTACTTAATGAATGTTTATAGGGCTTGTGATTAAACTTGATAAATAAATAAGAAAAGTGAAAGAAATTCTTTGGGGAAGTAAAGAGTCTTTGCTATTTTTCTCTCCTTTTATTCCCCTCTGAATTAAAATGGAAATGTTTCTTCTGTTTTTATTTGTGATACTAAGGAGGTTAATTTCTTTCCAGCAAAAGTCAGTGACCTTGTGGCAAGTGCCTACAAGACAATAAAAGCAAAGCTGCCCCTGACGTTGAGAAGTATGTCATTGTACCTATCCAATAAAGATACTGAGTTCGTCCTGTTTAAGCCAGTTAGGGTGAGTGTCGTGATCGTCTCTTTGAATGTTGGCCCATCTCTTGGAGTATTCTTGCCTTGTGTACCATTTTCCTCTTCCTGTAAACGTTTTGAAATGTTGGTCTGCTATTCTAGTACAGTTGACTAAAAAGCACTGTGATTCTTGAAAGACTTACAAAGCGTGCATCTGTCTGATTATATCTCCCCGACCTCGCCCCCAGCCCTCATTTTGTCTTAATTTCCTTATGGTTACCTGTGGCACAAGGGTAATTTCTACCTAAAAGTAGAAATCAGTAAATGAATAAATAAGTAATCAGACCCTCACATGAGATGGGGCCCAGCACTTGTGAAAGAACAGCACTTCAGGAATTATGTCCCATTTTACTGGTGAGTAGCAGAAATAAATGGCTTGCAGCGGCCACGGAGGGATTAAATGTCAGAGCAAATTTAGTACTCATAGCTTCCAGCTCTGTGTTGAGCTCACATCTTTACCCAAGGCGTTGGTTGATTTTTAAAGTGCATTTTATGTGTTTGGGAACTTTATTATCTCCTGCGGAAGAAATTGCTGCAGAAGACTGTTACTGTTCTCCGCGGGGGACAAGGCTTGCTAGAGTTTAGTTTTTCCAGTAAGTATTATCTGATAAGTCTTAGACAGGCAGTGCTTGCATGTGAAATATTAATGCAAATTGAACGTCTTTGGTAATGCCCTAGAAGATACATTTCCTCCACTTGTTTTGGCACATAGTAAGATTTAACTTTCTTAGTTATTCACATTTAAGAAGACTGAATATGTTTTCAGTGACTCATGTAATATGATTGCCTCTTCTTGTTTCTAAGAATAATATTCAGCAAGTCTTCCAGAAGTTCCATGTCTTGTTAAAGGAAGAGTTCAGCCCTGAAGATATCCAGATCATTGCTTGTCCTTCTATGGAACAGGTAATCCAAAGTCTGAAGATCCTTGTTACTTTTATAACCTTTTAGTTATTTTACTTGAGTAGATAATGTCTTTGAGTAACTGTGTTTTAGTTGTAATTTTAAAAATTGTACGTTGTTTTGTTCTGATGAGCAAGAGTTAAGCTCTGAATTGCTCTCTCGCATATTTAGTGATGGCGGCAGAATTTTCAGTTGCTATTCAGTGCTTTCTGGTATTGAAGGTCGCTGTGTTTAAGATGAATGAACTGTTTGTGGGAGACTCAAATAGTGGTATTTAGATTGCTGAATAATTTTGTTTGCAGTATGTATGATAGGATGCCCATGTTTTAGATGAAACAAAGTGTTTTAGGGATTAGAATAGATGTTAGAAGTGTTTCTGTTTTCTCTCTTCTTCCTAAATTAAAAAAACTAAATAGAGAGCTCAGTCTGTGTTTATTATCATTCATTTACTCAATTCAGTCAGCAGGCTTTTATTGAGTAGAAGTAGGTTGGTGCTATGGAGGGTATTTTATTTCTGGTTTTAAGTTTCGTTGAGGAGTTTCGTAGGGTAAGGACTAGAGAGAGAGACGGGGGTGAGAGTGGAAAGGTTAGCGAGAGCCCGATTGCTGTGGGTGGAGCCCGCGGGGAGAGAGACTGGAGGCAGTGTGTGTGGTAAGTCTTTTGAGGAGTTTTACTTCACGGGGAGAGAAAAGATGGGGTGGTAGCTGGAGAAGAAATGGGGTCATTTTTAAATTGTGATATAATTCAGATACCATAAAATTCACCCTTTTAAAGTAGGCAATTCAGTGGTTTTTAGTATATTCAGTAAGTCCTGGAACCGTCACCACTATCTAATTGCAGAACACTTTCATCCCCCCAACAAAGAAACCCCTACCTGTCGGCAGATTCTTCATTCCCCCCTCTTCTACTAATCTACCTTTGTCTCTGTGGATTTGCCTATTCTGGACAGTGCATTAAATGGAATCGTACAGTACATGGCCTTTCATGACTGGCTTCTTTCTCTCAGCATAATGTTTTTAAGGTTCATTCATGTTGTGGCTTGTATCAGAACGTCATTCTTTCTTACAGCTGTATGAATTTCTTTGTATGGCTCTATGGGTCACATTTTAAAATGATTTCTCTGTAGTTCTAGGGTTGTAGACAGTCAGGATACTTCTTTTTTTATAAATAAATAAATTAATTAATTAATTTTTGGCTGCGTTGGGTCTTCATTGCTGCGCGTGGGCTTTCTCTAGTTGTGGCGAGCGGGGGCTACTCTTCGTTGCGGTGCACGGGCTTCCCCTTGCAGTGGCTTCTCTTGTTGCGGAGCACGGGCTCTAGGAGCACGGGCTTCAGTAGTTGTGGCTCGCGGGCTCTAGAGCGCAGGCTCAGTAGTTGTGGTGCACGGGCTTAGTTGCTCCGCGGCATGTGGGATCTTCCCGGACCAGGGCTCGAACCTGTGGTTCCTGCATCGGCAGGCGGATTCTTAACCACTGCGCCACCAGGGACGCCCCAGTCAGGATACTTTTTTATAAGTCATTTGAAGCAATTATATTCTATGTGATTATACCACTAGCTTGACGTGTAGTTAGTGTATTTTCAATATTTAGAGATTTTTTCCCCTCGTTTTGATTTAATTTTGTTTTTATGTAAAATGTTTACATGATTCCCAAGTCAGAATTATGGAACAAGGTAAATTTGGAGAAGTCTTGCTTCCCTTTCCAGTCCCTCCAGCCTTTTCTCTCTCTCCCTGTTTAGATAGCTATTTTTATTTGTTATTGGATTATCCATCCATCCTTTTTTTTTTTTTTAAAGATAGGGGAAATGTATGTTTGTATATTCGTGGGGAAGATCTAAAGAGAGGGAAAAATTGCTGCTGGGAAAATGTCCTTGAGAAGAGAAGGGGGGATGTGACCGCAGGGGCAGTTGGAGAGTGGGGCCTTTGTCAGGGGCCTGCAGGGTTCAGCGTGGAGAGAGGAGCGAAGGCCGAGCTTGTGGGCGCACATGCAGGGAGCTGGCACGCGTGATGGGCGCTCGCGGAAGCTCTCCTCTGACTGCTTTGCATTTGTGGGGGGAGCAGGAAGCAGGGTCACCACTGAAAGGGAGGAGGTGCTGAAGATTCCTCAGGAAGGTTCGGTTGAGTTCAGTGGCTGGTTATGAATCCAAGAAAAAGCATTCAGCATAGTTGTCTCATGTTTTTTTTTCTCCAGTCATCGTCAGTCGCACGAGTGTAGACGTGGAGTTGCTGGAGGGTTGTGTCAGGGCTGTGCTTTTGCCAGGAGGGACAAGGCAGGGGCGGGTGAGGGCGGAAGAGTTAAAGAAGGGAGTGGCTGTAGTGATTGCCGTGGAACTCAAGCGAGGGAGCTGAGGGAAGGGAGTGAGGAGGGACCGTGGGTTCCAGGTCCTGGTCGAGTCAGAGGTCATTGGCGTTGGAATGTGAGAGGGAAGCTGAGCTGGGAAGATGGGTTGTGGCGATCAAAGAGTGAGCTGCTTGACGATGTGACTGCAGAGGGGTTGCAGTTAGAGGTAGTGATGGGGCTGGGATGTGCCCGCGGCCTGAGTAGCTGACGTGGTTGGTGGAAGATGAGGTCGCTGGAGGATAGGAGCCGAGGCTAAGCCTGGGAGCCTGAGCTATCTGGATGCTGAAACCGCCAAGAAGTCCTACAGGCGTAAAGAGTGATAGCGCTCTGAGGTCTGCAAGAAGTGCAGGGCTGTGTGATGGCGGAGGGGTCATAGATGGAGGAGTGAAGCGTGGCATGGTCTGATACGATGAAAACCAAAGCTGGGGGAAGGTCTGGGAGAGGGAAGGAGAATGGTCTGGAAATGGCAGTGAGGAACAGAGGGGACTCTGATCCCGCCTCCAGGCCCAGTGGTTCCAGGCATGTGGATGAGAAACGCCCGTCACTGCAGAAGGCGGCAGGGGAAGCTTGTCCTGGCGAAGGGGTGGGGGGCAGGGCTTCAGGACTTCAGAGGGGTGGGCCATGAGGTGGGAAGAGAGCCTTGAGGTAGTAGACGAATGACTTGGGAGGCCTGGGCTTCCTGTGGTGGGTGACGTAAGCGTGGATAAAGGTGTGAGGAGAGCAGCTCTGATGGAGCAGAGGCAGGGGTCTGGCTGAGAACATGCAGAGTTACTGGGCTCCCGCTTGACTCCTGCCAGTGAGATGTGTGGCTTAGCATGTGTACGTGTGTCTGTAACTTAAAAGTTTTATAATGATCACACACACTATGTGCAGCTCAGTTGCTTTGCTTTGCTTCTTTCTCCTGTTGATGAACCACTAAATTATTTTCATGACCTACCAATGGCTTGCAGCCGAGAGTTTGAAAAACACTAATAGAGGGACTTCCCTGGTGGTGCAGTGGTTAAGAATCCGCCTGCCAATGCGGGGGACACGGGTTCGAGCCCTGTTCCAGGAAGATCCCACGTGCCGCGGAGCAGCTAATCCCGTGCGCCACAACTATTGAGCCTGCGCTCTAGAGCCCGAGAGCCACAACTACTGAGCCCGCGTGCCACAGCTACTGAAGCCCACGTGGCTAGAGCCCGTGCTCCGCAACAAGAGAAGCCACCGCAATGAGAAGCCCAGGCACCGCAACGAAGAGTAGCCCCCGCTGGCCGCAACTAGAGAAAGCCCGTGTACAGCAACGAAGACCCAGGGCAGCCAGAAATAAAATTGAAAAAAAAAAAAAAGAAAAGAAAAACACTAATAGAGACCATCATGCTCACTGTTCCTTGTTCCTCTTTCAGAACTGTTAACATTTTCTAGTTAATAACAACAGCTGATAATACTGACTGCTGACTGAGTCACTTGGCCACAGGCTCATAAGAGTAGGAACCAGAACAAGGAATTCTCTTACCCTACACGCTGCACAATGATCAAAACAGGAAATGTAACATTGATACTATTACCTAATCCCCCATCCATATTCAAGTTATTTTCCCCAGTCCAGGATCCAGTCCAAGTGTTGCTTTCAGGTGTCACATCCCTTTAGTTTCTTTAAACCTGGAGCAGTTCCACAGCCCTTTTGGGCTTTCTTGACCTTGTCGGGCCAGTTATTTTGTAGAATGTTTGGTGTTGTCTGTTTCCTCATGATTAGATTCAGGTTTTGTATTTTTGGCAGGAAAAACACAGAGGTGATTTTGTGCCCCTCTCACTGGAAGTACACATTTATAGACGAGATTAGGGGATGATTATTTTGATTACCAAAACCCTACTATATAGAAGGGCGCACTGCCAGGCTCATCTAGCCGCAAGTCTCTCCAGGCCAGGGTGACAGATTTGCAGAGCGCGTGCTGCCAGCCCCTCCTGTCGTAGTGGCGATTTCTCTGGTTTTCCACGGGCTGGCTCTGGGTCTCGCGCTCCTTTACAGAGCGGACAGGGGGCTCCCGGTGCGGGTTAGCATATGAGGTGAAGCTCCCCTGCCGTGCCTATTCTTGTGCAGTCAAGAGTCATTTAAAGAGTTCAGTTTACTTACAACTCTCCGTGAAACGCACTCTGCATAGAGGCAGGTGAAGTTGGTTATTTAGAGCCATTTCTGTCTCTCGTTAGTGTTGGTATGTAGTTCTTTTCTGTCTTCCTGATTGGATTCTTAATGAATTGAGGGCCCAGGTTCGGTGATACCTCCCCACAGGCCCCGACGATGCGCAGCACCTGGGGCTGCTTCCGGAATCAGCACCGCAGGTCCAGTTTATACCTTACAGCCGTGTTTACTGGTCTCTTAAAAGTCAGACATTTCCTCTCGTTCTTTTTTGAGGATCTAAACAACTTATCTTGAGTATGGTATTCCACAGCAGAACTAACAAGGCCTTTCTCTTTGCTTTTCAGCTGAACCTCCTACTGTCAGTTTCTAAATAACCAGGCCTGTCGGGCTGTGTGCGTAAATGGCCGGTCCGGCAGGAGCTGGCTGCCAAGTCCCACGGCCTGCAGGACACCGGGGAATTGTGCGAGGGGCTTCCTGAGAACCACAGGGCTGCTCAGGGCTGACCGCAGAATGAAGTGGAAGCAAAGTGTGACGTGATTTGTGTTTCTCTTTTGAAAACATCAAAATGCCAAAGATAAGCTATAATCTATGAGCGCTGATTACTGCCTCATTTAAATGGTCACAAGCAGTGTAAGGTTTTAAGAGGAAGCTATGGTGGGCACGCAGTGAAATGGTTCTTAAGAAAAATGTGCAATGAAAATAGATTACGATAAATAGTGCAGAGAACTTTACAGAAATACAGCTCATTAGAAAGCTTCTAAGAGAAAGGTTTGTTGAAGCGTGAAACACTGCAATCCTTTTAACCACTGAGCATTCCACAGTGACTATTTCTTTACTTCCAGAAATGTTATTTCTACACCCTATTTAACGTAACGTTTCTCCTGTCACTTTGAAGTTTAGTTTGGGATAGATCGGGTGCTTCTGAGAACATGTTCTGCTCTCCTGGGAGTTCAGTGTGGTATCTTTCTGTGCGCTTGATGTGAGGTGGTTTCAAGGTGTGAGGTCCCTGGATCTGTACTCCATGAATTGCTTAGGTGCAGAGCGTTCAAAAGTAGGCAGGTAGCTGCAGCTTCCTCATGGTAGGTAACGTGCCGTATCTTTCATGAGAATCTTCATGGTACAGTAGGCAGTGTCTGTGAGGCGGAAGAACCAATTTTGGCGTCTTCGATCCGGCACGTAAAGGAGGAGGGGAAGCCTGGTGAATAGTGTATCTCGTGCACGAAGGTCAGGGTTACCAGCTTTCTGCACACTGCCTTCCGCTTCCGTAGTTCTTTGAAAAGTGAACATTTTCACGTCCTGTACCTTCATGGTGGCTGTGCCGCGAGCCTGCCTTGTGGATCTGTACCCTGCGACAGCAGGATACATTTCACTCACAGAGACGAGGATGACGAAGACCACCCATCCCTTAAAATCAACCACACGATAGCAGCGATCATCAAAAAAATTATGCGCATCTCTGAGTTTTCCTACAAATGTGTTTCCTGATTGGATTGGTTTTGCCTCTGATGTTATAGTAAATGTAACCTGCTCTTTGGTTCACGATGGATTTTGAGTTATTCAGACACTAGTTTAGAGATGGAATGCTGACAGGTTCTGGAATGTAGCCAGCAGACCTCATTCTGTGAGACTGTAGCATTTCTCAACCGCTTCAAGCAGACTCCCGCCATGTGTAGATAGGTTACATATCCTGATGTCTGTCATTTTAAACAGGTCACTTGTTTTTCAGCTCAGTTTAACTCGGTGATGGATGTTACTTGATAGAGCTCTCCCTTTCTTCATATGGAACATTCAAACACTGCCCAGTTTTCCTTTGGTAAAATAAATACTTTTCCCAAGTACATGAACTTAATCAAATTTCCTTTGGGTAACAAGGATACCCCATGATCTATTATATCATTAGATAATGCTATACTAAGTATAATCCAGTTTTGTATATTATATGTACATTTGATTTTTAAATAGCCTTTCCAAAGAAATGAGGGCATGATTATTGTACAATACTTGACTGATTTAATTTGATGTACAGAGCAGAGTGTGTTCTTAAGGATAAAAATATTTGATGACACTCGTTCTTGTGTTTTGAGTCTTTTATTTCTGAAACAAACACCTTACAGAAGTGCTGAGTAGGTGATAGGGATCCAACTTGTTTGCTAAATGACTGTTTAAATCTGTACAGTTTCAAGTGTTTACTTATACAAAGAGTGTACATACTTTCAAATAATTAATTTAAAATGCTTTATATTATTTGGCTAGAATTTGCTGTTTTTAATAAATGTGAATTTTTTTAAAAATAAAGATTTTTGCTTCCTACTTTTTGTCCTCATGGGTCTGTTATGTGTGTGGATTCTTTAAAAAAAGTTTTTAATTGAAATTAAAGATAACTTGTAGATTCACATGCAGTTGTGAGAAATAATACAGAGCGATCCTGTGTACCTTTACCCGATTTCTCCCAATGGTATCATCTTGCAGAACAATAACATGTGTCACAAGTAGGATATTGACAGTGTTACCCTCCACCAACGTTATTCCGATTTCCCCGGTTTTACTTGTACTGTGTGGATTCTTTTGGCAAGATGATTATTGTGGAAAGACATTTTGAAGCATCTTAATGCTTCATTAGGTGACAGATAATTTTTCTTTATTTGCAAAACTGCCAGTTTCCTGAGTACTATCAGCACAAATAGTTGTGCTGAAATTTAGTATTATTGAAGTCACAATAAAAACAAATTTGTATTTCCACAACCCCGTATCTTTAAATTCTCTTCTGCTGTTACCTTACAAGGAAGAAAGAATAGTCAACCTTATTTTTTAAAAAGGGTCCATTTAGGGCTTCCCTGGTGGCGCAGTGGTTGAGAGTCCGCCTGCCGATGCAGGGGATGTGGGTTCGTGCCCCGGTCTGGGAGGATCCCACATGCCGCGGAGCGGCTGGGCCCGTGAGCCATGGCCGCTGAGACTGCGCGTCCGGGGCCTGTGCTCCGCAACGGGAGAGGCCACAGCGGTGAGAAGCCCGCGTACAGCAAAAAAACAAAAAAAGCGTCCATTTATTAAAGGAACTGGGGGTGTGTTGGTGGAGAGAAGGTTACTTCTCAGAAAAGAGGAACTTCATCGATTCCTTTCTGGTGTGCTTTTCTTCTGGTGGTGGTTCCTCCACTAGCTTGTCTGTCTGCTCTTTCTCAGCACCCAACCCGCATAGAAAGGAGACAGCTGCTGGAAACTTAGTATAATGGCATCCATTAAATAGTCGTCCAATAAATACATATTGTGGGGGGGGTTAAAAACATTTTTCCTGGTTATCAAAATATGTTCACTATTAGACATCTCTGTAGTGTTTGAATTTCAACATAAAATGTGAAAGTCTTTCATAAATGAACCTTGAAAGGTAAACTGCTGTTAAATGTTTGGCATATAGCTTCCAGATTTTTTTCTATGTATATTCTAAAATAACTTTTCTTACAGGATTGGGCTTTTTTACACTTTTCTTAATCAGGTGAGTTTATTCATTCATTCATTCATTCATTCATTCACTTATTTATTATTCATTCATTCATTCATTCATTCATTGATTTATTGATTTATTGATTGGCTGTGCCACACAGCTTGCAGGATCTTAGTTCCCCTACCAGGAATTGAACCTGGGCCCCGGCAGTAAAACCGAGTCCTAACCACTGGACCACCAGGGAATTCCCAGTCAGGTGAGTTTTAATTATCATTGAGACGCACACTCATTTGCTGAACTATTTGAAGTAAGTTGCAGGCATCATGACATTTTACCCCTAAATACTTCAGCATCCATCTCCAAACAGTTAGGACATTTTCCTACATAACCCTAATACCACTATCACACCTAAAAGAAAAAAAAAATCAGTAATATCTACTATGTAGCCCATATGCCACTTTCCTCGATTGTTTCCCATAATGTTTCATAGCTTTTTCTTTTCCAGGTTCATACATGTTACCTTGGTTGTTACATCCCTTTAGTCTCTTTAATTTAGACAATTCGTAAAGTTTTTGTTTGCTTGTTTTCATGGCAATGACTTTTTTTTTTTTTAAAATAATGTGTGGACTCCTTATAGAATGGACCAGAGTCTGCAGAATGCGTTCTTTTGAAGTACGTGGAACATCTGCCAAGACAGATATATGCTGGGCCATAAAACAACAAAACAACCCAGATGTGATCTACAACAGTAGTTCTCAACAAGGGATGACCCCTGCCCCCTGCCACCAAGGGCGCGTTTGGCAACGCCTGTAGACATTTTTGGTTGTCATGACTGGTCTGTGGGGGGTATTACTGGCTTCTAGTTGGTAGAAGCAACTAGAACTGCCAAATATGCACAGGCTAGCCTCCCACTACACGTCCAAAATGTGGATGGTGGCAAGGTTGCAGAACCCTGTGATATATACAGCAACCCCCAATTCCTAGCACTTGCTATCCCCTCACCGGGCTTGGTTGTGTTCATATCAACAAATGATGTCTTTTACTTACTTGGTTTTTTTTTTTGGCTGCGCCGGGTCTTAGTTGCGGCACGCAAACTCTTGGTTCCCTGACCAGGGATCGAACCCGGGCCCCCTGCATTGGGAGCGAAGAGTCTTAGCCACTTGGCCACCAGGGAAGTCCCTACTTGTTTTTTTTCCTGACTCCCCCAGTCTGATTGTAAGCTACCTGGGGGAGGAGCTTTGCTGTGTTTACAGCTGTATACCTAGTGCCTAGAGCAGTGCCTGAGGTAGATGCTCAGTATCTGTTGAAAGAATCCACTTGGGCCCAAGTCACACAGCCTTCCCTTCCCCATCTCATTCCTACCAAGTCCTGCCTGTTCTCTACCCCCTCCTGCCCTCTATTTCCTCCCCTCTGCTATTTCCAATGCCATTGCCCTGGGTCAAGGCCCTCGTTTTCAGTATTCCTTGCTGAGAATATTGAAGTATCTTTACTACAAGAACCTGGTCTTATTTTTTTTTAATATTTATTTATGTATTTATTTATTTATTTGGCTGCATCAGGTCTTAGTTGCGGCACGTGGGATCTTTGTTGCCGTGTGCGCGATCTTTAGTTGCAGCATGTGAACTCTTAGTTGCAGCATATGGGATCTAGTGCCCTGACTAGGGATCGAACCCAGGCCCCCTTCATTGGGAGCGTGGAGTCTTGGCCTCTGGACCACCAGGGAAGTCCCCAGGAACCTAGTCTTATTAACATTCTCCTTCCCCTTTGCTAAAACCTTAAACTCCTGATGCACACGGGCTGTTCAGGCTCCTGCATATCTATCTGCCCACACTTGTCTCCTTACTACTCATCCTTTGTATCTCTCAGGGTCCTTGAGTGTAAGCAACAGAAGGCATCATGTCTTACTTGAGCAGAAAAGGGCTTTGTTGGAAGGAAATGGGAGTGCAGGGGACAGACCAGAAGCAGGAGGACCAGAAGAAGGGGAACAGGAAGCATTACAGATGCAGGTTTTTATTTTTTCAAAGCAGAAAGTGTCGGTCCACTGCTGTGGCAGAGTCCTAGACTTGGCATCACTGCAACTGCTCTCATCTTGGCCAAGCTGACTTCCTGTGTGTGTGTGTGTGTGTGTGTGTGTGTGTGTGTGTGTGAGAGATATTTTTCCATGCTTCACTGAGTGCTGGGGCAGGGAGGAGGAAGATTCTCTGTGCCAGTTATCGATATAGTGCCCCCTCAGCTCCAAATCCACCCTTTTGGGCCCTGCTTTGAGATTCTGGAGCTGGACCCTGAGAACATTTCTCCATTGCCAGCTGGTGCAGAGTTAGGCTCTGTAGGGTGCTGGCGCTACACTGCAAGGCACAGGGGAAGGGCGTCTCTTTCCATTTCTGGTGTGGGTTTTGCTTTCTACACTGTGCTGGCAGCCGTATGTGTGTCGGGGGGTGTCTGGTGGCACTTGCTCTCTAGTGAGTTTTCCTGGTATCCAAGCAGGAAGCGTCTTGTGAACCAGCTTGTTGTTGCAGGTGCGATTAGTTAAGATACTGGAGTTGGCTGGGCCCCTCATCCAGTATGACTGGTGTTCATATAAAAAGGGGAAATTTGATACAGAGACATGCACACAGGGAGAGCACCATGTGAAAACTGCCAAAGACAAAGGAACTACTAGAAGCTGGGAGACGGGCCTGGGCCACATCCTTCCCACGCTCTTGATCTTGGACTTAGGGCTTCCAGAACTGTGAGATGATACATTTTTGTTGTGTAAGCCACCCAGCGTGTGGTCCTTTTTGTTACAGCAGCTCTAGCAATCTAATACAGAGGGTGGGGGCTGGATTTTTATAGTTCCCCGTCATCTGGCTACTTTCGCTATTTCCTTCACAATCTGTGAGGTAACTCCCTTTTCCTTATGAAATAGTCCCTGGGTGCTGGGTAATTGTGTCCGGCCGGTGATAACACTCGAACAGAGCAGCAGCTACAAGAGAGGCTGGAAATGCCTAAAATCTACGTGAAATACTGTGTCTATATAGACGTTGACAATAGAATATTTAAAACAGGGAGCTGACCAAGCACAATGCCTCTGCTGACAATCTCTGAGTTAATGGGGTGAGTCATGTCTTCAGGTTTTGTGGAAGGAGAAAGACCAGGGAGAGGCACTGGCGGATGATAATAAAGTGCCCGCATCTGTGAAGCACCACGCTGAGCCCTTCACTCACGCCACCTGCTTTCGTTCTCACTCTAACTCTGTAAGGTGTGTTGGTGATTGCCCTCCTGTTCCAGAGGAGGAAACGGAGTCCCAGAGGGGCTCACTGCCGTGGCCAAGGTCGCACAGCTAGCGGGTGGTGGCACCAAGACCCCCACCAGGGCTGTCTGTTTCCCGGGCACACGTGGGAGGAACGTCGGGGCTCTGAGATGCACGCAGGCTTGGGAGGATTTGTTTGCTGTGAGATGCGACTCCGGAGCTTCTTGTCTCCAGGGCCTGGTAAGAAAAGGGACCTCTGCCCACACCAGCGGAGGTGTAAACTAACAAGGTCCCTAGAATGGCTGTGTCCTGAGTCAACCCAAGCACTGTGTGGCCTGTGACGGTCTGCTCCCCAGCGGTCACTACCTGGCAACAAAGTACCTGTTGTCTTAGCTGATGATGCTACTTGCCGACAAGGTGTGATAGTCACACGGGGGAAGTGACCGTGCAACACTCCGCTACTGCCAGCCTGACCACCCTGGTCCCAGCCCAGGCGCGCAGTTGTCAGGATTTGGGGTGAGGACAGGACTTTCGTGAGGGCAGTGGGATCAGCTGGAGAGCGGGGCCTCGAAGGTGGGGCTGGGCTCTCTGTTCACAGCTGGGATCAGCTGGCTAATTGCTAGGCTGAGCTGGGAAGGAGGTGTTTCCTATACTTTTGGTTCAGGCTGCAGTTGAGGCCATCCTGGGAAGTGTGCAGTGTCCCAGGGACATATAAAAGGCGCGCTATCGGGGATTGCCCAGCTCCTGAGTCCCCCTTTTCTAGAAACTACTGCCCCTCTCCATGCTTGACATCGACTAGGAGCCTAAGACATAACCCCACCCTCCCTTACCACACTGAATCACACCAAGGGTGGCCTCCTGATCAAGCCAGGCCAATAGAGACCACTGGGATCTTTTGAGAAAGACCAGGAGACAAAGCCATGTGAACTGAGATGCATAGAAAACACGTCTTTGGAACAAGCCCAGTGTCGCAGAGCTGAGAACGAAAGTCCTCCTGGCTCCTGGAGCCCTCCCACGTGCCAGTCCTTTCTGAGACCCATTGCATCTTCCATCTAGATTACACGTTTCCCATTTTGCTTTACCTATTTGAGTTGGTGACTGTAACCAGTGACCAAAAGGGGCCCAGCTATTGAAGAGAGTTTAAGTGTGGGTCCTTTTGGGCTCCTGGTTTGGGGGACCGGCTGCAGGCTGGTGCTGCTTTGCTGACTGGGTGTCCCTCTGTCTTGGCAGGGGTGGAAGAAGGGGTGTTTTGAAGCTACTATTTCTAGACCCATTTTACAGATGAGTAAACTGAGGCAGAGAGCTACTTGCCCAAGATCACACAGCCAACAGTGGGCAGAGCTAGGCTTTGAGACAGTCTGTGTCCTGAGTCAACCCAAGCATGGGAAAGTCACAAAAGAACATCTGCATTCATATGATCAGTAGAAGCAAGCGGGACAGGTGTTGACATGTATTGTCTACTGAAACAATTTGCTTCTAATGCTGGCAGGGTGCATGATTAAGTCTCTTCTGTGCCCAGCCACAGACTCTCTCAGCCCCTCTCTGCCCCTGAAAAACCTTTTTTTTTTTTTTCTCCAAGTCAAGGAGCTGGGATAGGTCCCAAATTACAAACCAGCTCTCACAAGATATGAACTAGGGCTTTGGGGGTTTCCTAGGGGCTTCGGACACCTCCACCTCCCCGAAACATTCAGCACGTGCCAAAGCAGCACAATTTGGTGACTTCCCCAGCTTGGAATATGAGAGTTCCTCCTCCAACTCATATCGTCTTGTTGGCAAGATCTTGACGCCTTGTATGAAGCATTCCAAATCAGATATGGTCAGTGTATTCGGGATCTTCCTCATTTTTCCCAGAAGGATCTGGATCTTCCGAGCCGTTGAACTGAATTCCATCTCCAGGACTTCTTTTTTCATTTTGCTCAGCGCCGCCGGGGTAACGTACTGTGGGAATTCACAGGCGGCTCGTGAGGATTAATGCTACCTGGGCACCAAGCTCCCCCCCGCGTCAGGATTAGGACCCTGTGGCCGTGACCGAGCCTTTCCTGGAAACGTCACTCTCCAGGGCGAATCTGTGAACCCAGCCCTACCACCAGCAACCTTTCTGCTGCTTCCCCAAGACACTCACTTGGCCTGTGCCCGTGGCCACATCCCAACCTGACCCCAAACCAAAGGGTGGCCAGCTGCTGGGCCCTGGTGTGACCTGCCTTCCAAAGGCTGTGCCCTCCTGGGGGCGTCCAGCTTCTCCCCTTGGATTCCTTAGCACAGCAGGAGAGTGAGGCCCTCGCGGTGTCTGCCTACGAGCCCCACATCCATCTGGGGCTCCCTTGGAGCGTGTCTGGGTCTTGCTGGGATGAGAATGTCAGTTTCCTCAGCTCCGAATCTTATGTTAAATGATAAGTGTTCGGAAGTTAAATGATTGCTTCGTATATGGTCAAGCGTCGGGTCAGGGAAGGGGGCCTCGTTTCCCTAGGGGTTGGAGTGTTGAAAAACATGCCCTGGAGGCCTGAGCGTGGACCAGTTCAAGCCAGCAGTGGCCTGCGTGCAGGTAGTTCCCCACCTGGCAGAAGACGAGGGGAGCTGAGACCTTACCTTGTACTTGGTGCCTAGGTTTAAGCAAATGTGCTGCTTTTTGTGGATGAAGCGGAAGATGATCTTATCCTGGCTCCTTATTTGTACCTTGATGTACTGGTTGATTTTCAAGGAGATGGGCTGGACGGGGGGTGCATGGATGTGGAGGTTCAGATCCCACCAGTTCCAGGCCTTCTGGTACTTGTCTCTGGCAAAGTAGTATCCCAGGTTTGGGCTCAGATTCAACCTAGACCAAGAAGGCATCAGACAGCCACAGCACTGGGCCCCGGGGCCGAGGGCGCAGCCTCTCCCAGGGCTGCAAGCCCGCCCCTCCTTCCTCCCCTCCCACCCGTGCTCTTTCCCCCTAACATGGGGCCTTGGCAGGTGGGAGAAATGCCAACAAGGAGGTGAACCCATCTAGACGCAGCCCTTCGGCCCTGGCCTGTCCATGTCCAGTCTCCTCTGGTGCCCCTGGCCCCTCACACCCAATTGCTCCTTTCAGTTCCGGGGTCACGCATGCTCTTGAACTCCTCATGGCTTTGCCGTGCTGTTCCCTCTGCCTGGAGAGGTCTCCCCACCCTGCTTGGCGTGGTTCCCTCCTGCTTATGCTTTAAGCCCCAGCTTAAATGTCACCTCCTCAGAGAGGCCCTTCCTGAAGCCCCCTGAGTCCCGATATGACTATCTCCATCTCTTTGTTAATTTCCTTCCTATAATTTACTAATACACATTGATTCTCGTTATTTGCTGTAGTTGGGTTCTGTAAAGTTGCCTCAAACACAGAGTTAGCGAATACTGAACCACTGCTCCCTGGGGAAATAGGTGTGTGTATCTATCACACATAGATAACCGTACATACTAGAAACAACACATCCTGGTAGATTCCAGCAGGCGGCCCCAGAACTGAAGCTGCTGGCACCACGTGCCCTGCTCCTCCTGGCTCCATCCTCTGGTTCCCTCATCAAGAGCTGAATTAAGAAGGCAAAGCAGCTGGGAATGTGCACATCAGGCAACTCAAATCCTTCAGTGCTCTGTGCGTGTTTGTGACTCTATGTGAAATGTGTGCATTTGCATCTTTCCCCTGGGAGCGATGGTTCAAGGTTTGCTAGTTCATGTTCTGCGGACCTTATATAGAGCAGAACTGTCTCGAATAATGAGAATCGACTGGGCTTGCTTATCATCCGTCCGTCCCACTAAAATGGAAATGTAACTTGTGGTCCGGAGGGAAGGGTCCACCTCTGTCTGGCTCCCGCGTGGACCCTGCCCCGCACTGCGCCTGGTGCCCGCGGAAACAGCTGTGGGTGAGTGAGGGGTGGCGGGCTCCTCCCTCTTTCAGCCCAGGCCCTGCTCTCCTTTGAGCCTTCCCTTCCTGGCATTTCAAGCCCACCATACCCCTCTGCCCTGGCTTCTGCTTTTTGAATCCCACCAGGGCCGTCTTGAGAATTGGTGCTGATGGGCAGCAACTTCTCTCGGGAACCAAATACAGAAGGGAAGAGAATCTGGGACCTGGGTTAGTCAGGGGAAGGTAGGGTTTGGGGGAGCCCGGATTACTCAGACCACCTGCCAGGCCTCGTCTGGGGTGTTCAGGGGCCTTGTAGGACGCTGGGAGGGAGAGGCCGGCTCAGGCCTGCTAACGGCTGCCTTGTTCACTTCCAATAAGGGGAGCAACTTCTGGTCACTCCCCAACGCTAGGTCCTCCTGTTGCTTCCCACTGCCCATCGAGCCGAGTGCAAACTATTAAGTCCCTTCACCATGGGGCCCAGCCTGTCCAACCACATCCCTCTTTACCTAGACAAGAGGCTATGATGCATGTAATGAATTAAAAACCTGGGCTCTGGAGCCAGATCTTCTAGGTTCATAGCCTGGCTCTGCCACTTGCAAGCTGTGTGACCTTGGGCCAGTTACTTAACCTCTCTGTGCCTCAGTAAAATGCAGATAATAACAGTGCTTTACTCATAGGGTATTTGTGAGGATTATAAGTGCCTGTACAAAGCAGTAAGTCGTTGAACATTAGGATCTCCTTATTATCATTGATGGAGAGGGCAAAGAGGAGTCTTCTTTCACTCTGCAGGGGAGCGGATCCCCGCTAGCTTCTAACCCTTTAAATGGCTCCCATCAGAATTTTTGCACGAGGCCCTCCCCATTTCCCAGGGTTAGGATCTGTCTCAGCCTGGAGGTATCCAGTTCTGGGCTAAGCCTCCCTCACGAAACTGGGGTCTAGAACACCCAGAAATGGTGTGAAATTGAAGGCTTCTTCTCAGGGGGCGTAAAGACCCAAACTGTGGAGCTGGCGGGACCCACCACCAGGGACCCCGAGTTTAGGCAGGTCTGGGGCCCTTGCTCTGTGGGACCCTGAGCTCTGGAGGGAGGCCTGGTCTGAGGTTCCTCAAGCGTGGGCCTGGAGGGTGGAGGTGATGCTTAGTTTCCACACAGCCTTCTGTCTTCCCCGAGGAGATGGAATCAAAAAATCATCCAAGGAGTATTCAGTCCTCCAATCAGCTTGGCGCTCCATCCTTCCCAGGGCCTGTGATGCGAAGGAGGAATGGAGGCGGGGCTGGACCAGGGGAGCCGTGGGATTCCCGGCAGTGACGCCTGTCGGCGGGGCCCTGGTGCAGCAGCTGAATGTTCCCAAATGGCTTGGAGGGCCTTTGCCACAGGATCTCTCTCCCAGAGACGAAGGGCCTGCAGTTCTGACCGCGAAGTCCGTCAGGGGCCGAGTCCCTCTGCGGTGGGAGCAGTCTTCTCGGGTGCCACCACCCCTGCGGGCGGAAGCAGCTTGGGGCGCTGTGACCCGTGGTGTGAACTTTCAGGTGTGATGGGTGTGAGGCTTTACGCAGGGACAGTCCCTCTCCCATCCAGGTCTCTGATGCCTGAAATGCCATCCGTGGAGCCACTTTGGTTGAAGTCAAATGAGATGAGAGCTTGACCCAGAGAGAGAAGATGCAGCTGCCCTGGGGAGAGGTAGTAAGAAAGCCCTGGCAATGAACTGCTTACAGCTGAGCACGGCGGGGGGGGGGGGGGGG